GCGTGCAGTGAAATAATTCCCGGTGTGTTGGAGGGAAATAAACTTTGCACCGTATGTAGACAGTCGATTTCTCGCAAGCTGTCTACCCCCGTGTTCGAAGAAAGTACTTCACCGACGGACGCTCCAAAGTCTCCAGCCGCCAAGAGAAGCCCCTTGCCATGTGCGCCTGGGTTCGTGACAACCCCTCATGGCACGCAGCGGCCAGTGCATCCCGCTGTCCAGCGTGTGCACGGCGTAAACACCCGGGAGTCGGACAGTGAATCAACTAGTACCGCTATTACTAGTTCCAGTGGCACCAGCTCTGGAGATGGAAGCCAGTGTGAACCTAGTCCAGCTATTCGGGAACGTCTCGACGAGGGCCTGCAGATTCTTGGTGCAACTCCTCTCAACGTGAAGAACCTTCAACGCTCGGAAGCCTATCGAGAAAAGAAGATCAACAAAGTCACGACTCTGCTGCAGCACACTCTCCTTAAGGCTGCAGGTCAAGGTAGAGATGCTGTAGGAAATGCTGCAGACGACGGTATCAACTATGAACAGGCCGGAAGGCAGATGATTTCTCAGCTGAAAACAAAGTTTTCACAAAGTTCGACATATGCAGAGAAGATACGCGTACTGTCACTGTTACCCGCATCGTGGAGTAGCACCGATATCAAAAAGACATTTCCTGGAGCGACAAGCCATATGATTAGGATAACAAGGTTATTGGTGGCTCAAAATGGCCCACTTTGCTCACCAAACCGAAAACGAGGCAAACGACTTTCATTTGAGACCGAGAAGCTAGTGACTTCGTTCTACTTGGAACCTGATGTAAGCCGCGAAATGGCGGGGAAAAAAGAATGTATTGTGGTGAGAGGAGACGGTGGAAAGGTTACTAAAACAAAACGACTCGTGCTTGGTAATTTGCGTGATGTGTTCAAGTCGTTCTGTGAGAAGTACCCCGACATCAAAATTGGATTTTCGAAGTTCGCCTCACTCCGGCCCCAGGAGTGCGTTTTGGCTGGCTCAGCTGGCACTCACACCGTGTGCGTCTGCACAATACATCAAAATTTTGAGCTAATGTTTATGGGCGGACACCTCGGAGCCCTAAAAGATGGAGACGTGAAAGTTTGTGAGTCTTGGCGTGATGTGCTGAAAGCGACTATGTGCTCAGAACCGACAGAAGACTGCCACTTCGGAAGATGCAAGAAATGTCCAGGGTCAGCTCAAATCGAGAACAAAATACTTGATCTGCTGCTGACGGGTTTTGTCGAAGAAATTACTTATAAGCAGTGGGTGAAGGACGATAAAGGCAGGTTCTTGTTAAGTACATCTGTGCTACGTACTCAAGATTTTGTCGAAAACCTAGCCGATGCTATTCCGGACTTACGACAGCACAATTTCATTGCTAAGCAGCAGGGTGCTTATTTTAGAATGAGAAGAGACACACTGGTTGTCGGAGAAATATTAGTCGTTGCTGATTTCTCAGAAAATTTTTCGTTCATCATTCAGGACGCAGTGCAAGGGGCGTACTGGAACAATGAACAGGCAACTATACACCCTTTTGCTCTGTACCATCGCAATCCTGAAACTGGTGAGGTACAGCCAGACAACCTTGTGATTATATCAGATCATTTAAAGCACGTCACATCCACATTCAGCAAGTTTCAAGAAGTGTTAATGGACTATTTGTGGAAGAAACACAGTACTTTAATGAAGATTATTTACTTCTCAGATGGCTGCGCCGGACAGTACAAAAACCGCTACAATATGAAGAATTTGGCCATGCATGAAGCTGATTATGGCGTGCCTGCAGAGTGGCACTTTTTCGCGACGAGTCACGGAAAGGGCCCTAGTGACGGTCTTGGGGGATGCCTAAAGCGACAAGCAACGCGGACGAGCTTACAGCGTCCATACGAGGATCAAATTCAAACACCGAAAGAATTGTTTGAATGGGCTAATTCCGCACTCGACGGTGTTAATACCGCATTTGTCACATCGGCTGCTGTGAGGAAGCACGAGAGGAAGCTGCACCGCCGATTCGCCACTGCCCCCGCCATCGAAGGGATCCGATCTCACCACTCCATGGTCCCAGTATCTTCAGATATTATGAAGATGAAGATTCTCTCATTATCCGAGTCTGGAAAGACATATAATTTAGCTGCGGGCACAGTAAACCCCGTCGAAGACCTCGAGGAGGGACTTGACGACCTGCACGCCGACGACCCAGAGCCGGTGCCATGCACACCTGGAGTATCTACACGATCCCGGTAAGTGAACACGCAATTTCCTTCATTACTTGCAGCTTTCCCCACAATTCGTATCCTAACGCACCTTTTTTATATTGCAGAGCAAAACAACAGGCTCTGCACAAGAACAAGAGAGCGAAAGTCTAAGAGAAATCAATATAAGATTGGATTTATGGTACTGCCAGTCTACAAAACAAAATGTACAGTTGTTAAAAATAAATACAAGAGCTAA